CCTGCACCCGTGTGGGAAACCTGGAAGAAGTTCCTGGCTCCTGGCTTCAGATCAGTGCAGCTCCGGCAGTTACAGCCATGTGGGGAGTGAACCAGTGGATGGAAGACCTCTCCACACCCCACCCCTGCCTCAGCCTCTTGTAACTCTGCCCTTCAAATAAATAAATAAATCTTAAAAAAAGCACACACACACACACAGAAAGGAGAGAAAATACAGTAGATGGCTCAACTCTGACCAGAAGGAATCATTTTATTTGATTTTTAAGATTATTTGTTTACTCATTTATTAGTTGTTTATTGAAGAAGAAGAGTGGCAGAGAGATATATCTCCCATCCACTAGTTCACTCCCCAGCAGCCAGGGCTGAGTTAAACCAGGAACTAGGAACTCCATTCAGGTCTTCTACATGGATAGTAGGAGCCCATGTGCATTAGCAAGAAGCTGGATTAGAAGTGGAGCAGCTGGGACTCAAACCAGTGCTCTGATATGGGATGCTAGTATCACCAACAGAGGCTTAACCTTCTGTACCACAATGCCATCCACAAGAAGGAAATAATTTCTAAAAGAAAAGGAAGACATATTAGGTCCTTGATTATCATAAAAAAATATGTGATTGGAAGCCAAGTCTCACATTGCAAAACTTGAAAACTATTTTTCTTGTATTGCTTTACTTTTATTTCATCTTCACATCAACTATGCTTAATCCCTACAAAATACCTTTTTTAGGTAAGCAGGGTGGACTCTTTGGTTTGTTTTTGGATTGTTCTTAATTTGTTTTTGCTTTCCAGTCCCCATTCATAAGAGGAAACTGAAGCCCCAAGAAGATGTAATTCATTCAAAATCACACCATCAGTTCCATCAACTAAGGGCTCACAGCACAGTGCTCTTCCCAATACTTCAGAGAATGCTGGGAAAATTTCATGGCAATGGATAAATGCAGCTCAGAAACCACCTGAGCACATTTCAGAAATTCCAAAGGGAGAATTCCTGCAAGCAAGCAGTTCTTTGGTTTACAAAAGACAGGGCTTGGTTGCCTCAAAACTTCTGTTACAACTAATAAGGAAACAAAGGGTTAAATACTGCACCTTCTCTTGATATGAACATTCTTATGTGCATTCTTTGATCTCTTAGTAGAGAAAGATTTCAGACACATCTTACTTTGCCAATATGAACAAGGGGAACATGTGGTTAAGGGATATGCTCCATTATTGCCTGAAAGAATCCCAGCCCACTTCCTTATGGGGCTAGATAAAACTCTGAAGTCTGTAAACTAATTCAGCCCCAGGTGTAACACTGACAATTCCGCTTTGATGGGGGCAAAGGAGACCCCAAGCCCCTGACTCTCTCAGTAAAGATTACCCCCGCCCTGTAGCATAAAACAGTAAAGGTTTCTGTAGCTTCCCCAGTTCAGCAAGAAAGAAATTAACCCTGTGTTTTCTTATTCCTGTTGCCTCAGCATGGATTGGGATGGTGGGAGCGGAGTTACAGATTCTGTCAGCAGGAGAGATCAGAGCTCATTGTGTATGCGCCTGGCAAGATTTAGAAGGAATTATAGAGTCACTAGAAATGACCATATCTCTATATTCACTGAATTTTCTAAGGTTCTCTAGAAGCCCAGATAATTTGGCAAAAAGAAAAAATTCCCTTTAAATAATTCTTTCTATTTAAATTTGGAAATGTTAGTGGAAATCACTATTTTACAAAAAGAGTAGCTTCAATTATACTAAGTAGAATGCCTTCATTTAATTAATTCACCAAGTCCCTGGATGACACTGGGTGTGGCTGAGAGAGATTTAGGAGGAATCCAATGTATCACTGGGAAGAATTGCCTGCACCAAGCTGCAAAGCTGCATCTTTGCACACCTTCCCGATGCTGCAAGGGAAGGCGCAGCCAGGTTGGAATTCTACACCACAGATCACATTCTCATAGATAAGAATTATTAGTGCAGGTGGCAGGGAGGGGGAAGACAGAGGTTGGTGGGGTATGAGGGTGGGGACTGGGATGTAGAGGGACTACTTGTTTGCATATTATTTTTTACACTTCATTTGCAGACTAAAGTCATTTTTTTAAACAAAGGAACCATCTCCTAGGCTTCTTTGTGGACATTTATGACACCTTGCAAGTTTTTAATCATATGCAATATGCATGGAAATTGAGCTATTTAAAGTAAGCCCCAAGATATTTGAAAAACCATAAGCCAACAAAATCTCTGGAAATTTTTATTATATTCCTCTTTTTCCCATTCACTTACCATCTTCTAATTTCCACCTCACTCTCATTCTCTTCTCCCTTCTCTGATAATGTAGAGGAAACTAATGGTTAATATGGATCATTTATGCTTTTTTTTTCTCATCCACTGGCAATGCCTTACAACTTAGAAATCCAGGATTGCTTCTTTTTGCTGCTCAAGTGGAAGAGGAAGGAAGTGCAAGCCCTCCAGACCCCTCCCACATTTCTGCTGGATTTCATGGGTGTGGCAGAGTTTAGACCTTTGCAGGGTTTTGAACATGTTGTATTCCCTGTTAGGGACTGGGGTGATGAATAGATGCTAGAAGAAAGACACCATTGGATTGTGCCCCGGATGAGGCTGGATCACTGCAGCCACATGCAGGAAACCTGTGTGAGACTTAAGGACTCACACTATAGAAAATGCCAGTCGGTGTAGGGTAAGCCCACGCCCTGAATACACCATTTCCTTCCGCCTGATTTCATACTCTCTTAAATACTGACTCATGTGAATGACACACAGCAGTGACATATGGGAGACATGACCATTTCATATATGAGTACATGCTTATAAACTGTAAGGGCAAACTATGACAATATATTTTCATTTTCTGTCTTGAATATGAATGATGCTACAACACAGGAAGACATGTAGACACCATACAGAGCACATGCGTGGCTGTTGCCTATAAAGTATGCGGATGCCATGCACATTTGCATGTGAATTTTATATTACTCTCGAAACACAAAATTTCAGCTTCATTACTTGGCACATCAGAGTAAATGATTGGGGCTGTGGGTGAAATACAACCTGAGTGAAGGCAGCTGTCCTCATTTTGGGAAGGGAACTCCTTCAGCCCCAGTTCTCTTAAAATCATGCATGGTTTCCTGCATCAAAGGAGGTGTGTATATACTTGCATGTATACAAACAGGGTGGGAACAAGTTGTAAACTAGTATCTTTTTCCTTTCTAAAATTAAAGCTGTTTTCATGAATAGCACTGGCTTCCTTAAGGCTTCACCTTCCCGAATTTTGATTCCCCAGCTCACCGGTGGGGTAACCTCAGAACCTTTCTTTGACAGTACGCTTATTCAGACACCTGTATCTACCACCTTTGTATATTAAAATGAAAGAAGACAAGAAGAGGAAACATCCTGGGTTGAAAATGAGTCAATGGCAGCATCAATCTTTAGAACCATAGGGCCGTTTTCAGGAATGCTGCAAATACCCCCTCTCCCCCATAGCTGACATTCCCCTAAACACCCCCATGCAAACCAGGAGGTCTGTTACTTTATTTATTTATTTTGGCCATGCCTGTCCACCCACTGCTCTGAGCTTCTGCTTCCTCTTCTTTCTCCTTCTCCTTCATCCTTCCTCCCCACCCCTCCTTCCAGGGCGCTGGCTAAATGTGCAAGGCTGGCAGGCTGTGCTTCCCCACTCTTCTCCACCCCCTTCGGATGCAGGGAGTGTATTACAAATTGCCCAGTTTCCAATACCTGCACAGGAATAATACCCAAATCCCATCTCTAGCACCCCACCCCAAAGGCAATCAATCTGCAAAGAGCTTCTTTGATCAAAAACTGCCACCACCACCATCCCCACCCCCGCCTCAGGCACACACACACACACACACTCAAATCCTACAACCATTTTTTTCTCCTTAACCCTGGCCAAAATCACTCAAACATGCTCCAACAAATGTTTGAAAGCTTCCTTTGGAGAATGCCAGGGCACTGTGGTTGCTGCAGAATACCGTACTTCCCCCATCCTCACCCCAATCAAGTTTCTAAAATGTCTTTCAAGAAACAAGTGAGCAATCTGAAAGGGAAGAGAACCTGGGTGGTGGGGGGAGGGGGAGGGGACTGGGACGCTTGCTAATCTTGGATGTGTCCGTCTTCCTGAAGAAAATGAGTCACCATGCTTAATACCCAGGATGTGAGCACGTCTCTGGTCACTGACAATCCCAGGGAAACAGTAAGGGAAGGGCAGGAGAGATGAGCCTTGATTTCCAACAGGTAATACCTGGCTCCTCTTTCCCATCCCATCGGAGCGCAAAGCTCCTAGGGGCGTGGTCCACCCTCTCGTCCGACCAGCTGGGGCACAATCGCTAGCCCATGATTTTCCCCTTCTACATGGCCAGATTTTTCCCCAGCCCCCGTGGTTTTTAGGTTCTCCTTTTACAAAATTCTCTGCATCACAATCCCATTCATTCATTCATTGAAAAATAAATAAATAAATAAAGCCTTCACATGTTTTCCCGCAAATACCTGCGCCCCCCGTGAAGCTCATGCATGTACGAAATAAGACGTCTTCCGCAGCACATGTGAGAAAATTGTACGGCAGAACAAGCAATACTCAGCCCTGAATATTATTCCTTCAACCATGCTTTTTTGCGAATAATATAAAGGATCGCCTCCCCATCTTGAAAGGTAGAGCCCACATCTCCTTCCCCACACCCCTCTCTGCATCCACACCCTCAAAACCAGAAACCTAAAACGCTGAGCATTTACGGATAAGCAAAAAGAAACCTTAGTTGTAAGCCAAACCAGCGTATTTTTTCCCACCCTCACCCCTCTTTAGTAGCAGCATTCCAAAACCAGAGCATGAAAGACAGAAAAGAATAAAAGCTGGGATGCGACCATCAGTTACCATATGCTAAGGAAACGCGAGTACCGTGGCCAGAGCAGAAGCCGTTAAACATTTTATCTGCCTTTACAGGGAAATCTTGTACTCTGGTCATTTCACAAGAGCAAGAAGTAAAAATCTTTAGCTCTACCTGTTTGGTTCTTCTCATACAGCACAGCATGGTTGTATCGTCCCTTGCCTTCTTCCTGCCTTCTCTCCTTTCCTCCTCTCTCTTTCTTATTCCCCCCCTCTCCACCTCTTTTCTGCTCGCTTGCTCACTCGCTCTCTCGCGCTAGCGCGCTCTCTCCCTCCCTCCCTCTCTCTCTCCTCACACACACCAGGGCAGTTAGCAGCGACTGTAAGGTCCACAGCTACTGCTCAGCGCACATGCTCGCTTTCTCTCTCTCTCTCTCTCTCTCTCTCTCTCTCTCTCTCTCTCTCTCTCTTTCTCTCCCTCTCTCCCCCTTCACCCTCTCCCTCTCTCTCTCCCTCCCCTTCTCCCTATCTCTCTTTCCTCCACCCCCCCAGTCTCTATCCTTTTTTTCCCCTCTCTTTCTCAGAATTGTTCACTACCTTTCAATGACTAATCACTTCCCCCAGCCCCTACCCCATTCTAGACAGTCACCCCTCCCAATCCCCTGCCAGCCTCATGAATATTTAAACACCTCCAATCTGGACCCAATTACCCACCGACTTTCCCACTGCATTGCGAGGGTGATGGGGTGGGGGCAGAGAACGATATTCTAGTCCGTTCATCAGACTGGGTGGAATATGTTTTAGGGAAAAGGGGCCTGAGGAAGGCTTGCATTTCTTCACTAACTCTGCTTTTCCCAAAAAAGCAAAGAAGAGCTAGCTATTCCTAAGGAGTAGTTGTATCAGACCTATACAAGCTATAGCTGCCATTTAGGTTTTTTGCAGTTAAAAATTGCGAGGGTTAAGATCCCTCAAAAATTTAAATAATATGTAACTGCCACATATGATAAACACACGCACACACACATACTGCTCTCAGGAAACGTATAACCTAAAACAAATACACACATATAGGCTTAGAGATGCACAGACTTATCTCATGTATGCTGTAATATCCTGAAGAAAGTCACATGAATATGTAAAATTTTAAACACTCTAAGCACTTGAGTTTAGAAATAATAACACATTTTTAGGAATTAACAGCCAAATCTAAAATCACATGGTGGTTTTTGTCCTAATGCACGCATCTGAAAATCATGGTTTCTTCTAATTTTAATGAGAAACCTGAGTACATATGAACAACAGGTCTTTGAAACATTAATAGTAATCAAAATTATATTTTACAGTTTGGGCACGACAGATAAAAATAAACTATTCTGCGATGAGAATAAAAGATACATCATGCTGCCTATTTCTTCAATTCTTTTGATGTACTTTTAATAGTTTTGGGGGAACATTTGATTTTAAGGTGCATAAAATACAATTTTTATATATGTAGTGCTGTAGCAACACGCAGCTGTCACGGAAGAGCTGTGCACCTGATTTCCTCATCTGTAAAATGGGGATAGTCATGCCAACATGTTGTAAGAATGAAAGAACATAATGCACGGGCCGGCGCTGTGGCGCAGTAGGTTAATCCTCTGCCTGCAGCACCAGCATCCCATATGGGCACCGGTTCTAGTCCTGGCTGCTCCTCTTCCAATCCAGCTCTCTGCTATGGCCTGGGAAAGCAGTAGAAGATGGCCCAAGCCCTTGGGCCCCTGCATCCACATGGGAGACCTGGAAGAAGCTCCTGGCTCCTGGCTTCGGATTGGCACAGCTCTGGCCATTGTGGCCATTTGGGGAGTGAACCAGTGGTTGGAAGACCTTTCTCTCTGTCTTTCCCTCTCACTATCTGTAATTCTACCTCTCAAATAAATAAATAAAATCTTACAAAAAATAAAAAAAAAGAACATGATGCCTGCAAAGCACAACAGAACCACTTCCAGTGCACAGTAGCTCTGCCCTAGAGACTGGACTTTTCTGAAATTTTTGGTGACATTTTCAAGTGAATGTCTCAAGGAACTTTTCAAACCATTTCTTGTTGTTAATTAGTGATGACAAGTACCCTTAATTAAACAGCATGTATTCTTTCTATTCTCCCCTACACATACATTTGTTTAATAGGTGTCAACTAAACAACTTATTACCATGCCTATTTCAGGATCACTGAGTTCAGCAGATGCTCAATACATTTTAACAAAATTCAAGGTACAACCAACTCAGAATGGGCTGTCTCAGAAAGATACCTGGAGATGATGGTGATACCTAGCAGGTGATGGTTATCAATTATCCCTAGGGTTCTTCCTGAGAATGACTGGCTTGGATCCAGTCTACCTGCTCTTTTCTAGTCAGTATGCTTCTTAGTTTTCATAGTTTATAATAAAAGTCAGAATTATATTCTGAGTTTAAGATTCTTTTAATGTTTAAGATTGTTGGGCCGGCACTGCGGCTCAGTAGGCACACCAGGTTCTAGTCCCGGTCGGGGCGCCGGATTCTGTCCCAGTTGCCCCTCTTCCAGGCCAGCTCTCTGCTGTGGTCTGGGAGTGCAGTGGAGGATGGCCCAAGTACTTGGGCCCTGCACCCCATGGGAGACCAGGAGAAGCACCTGGCTCCTGCCATTGGATCAGCACGGTGCGCTGGCCGAAGCGCTCCAGCCGCGGCGCCATTGGAGGGTGAACCAATGGCAAAGGAAGACCTTTCTCTCTCTCTCTCTCTCTCTCTCTCACTGTCCACTCTGCCTGTAAAAAAAAAAAAAAAAAAAAAAGATTGTTTTAATGTTGCTAAGGCTAAGTCCTATCAGGGCAGAGCATTCAAAAACAACCTTCTATGAAGAAGAGCGAGAAGAATGGGTGAGAAATGGCTTGGATCAAAGACATCTCGATTGTGGATTAGGATCACCTTATGTAGCTTGTTAGTGGCTGGAAAGTATTTAAAGGAGGAAGCAGAGTGGGTGAAGGCTGGGAATAAGGAGAAGAAATTGCTTCTGTTGGTGTTTAAATAGGCTGAGAGCTTTGCTGATAAGATCATTTCATTAACTGTGTGGCCAAACATAATGCAAAGGCTGGGAACAACTCCTTTCTACTCACCCCAGCTCTCCCGTTTGCATTTTCTCCCCCTTTTTATTGATTGGAAGGAATTCTGGAAACAACATCAGACAAACTAGGACTCAAAGCCTGGCACAGGCAGTAACAAACTTTGTGACTAAATGTGCTAAACCATTTTTCTTAGCATTAGCCTTCCCATCCATTTACATGCATTATTTCATGCAACATTCAAAATGAGGTAGCTGAAGCATGAATCACATTTTGATGGGGGATATAATGCTAAGGGAAGTTAAAAGCCTTTACTAGTTAACATAGCTAGTAAGAGGCAAAGCTAGGATTCTAAATAACCCTCTTAGCCCCTAAGCTACATCACTACTCCACCGGCTTCAACTACCATTACTGTACCTCAGGTCTTAGATTAAACTACAAAATGGAAGTTTTGTGATGAAATGAAATCTATATTCTACAAGGGCCACCTATTAGGTATAACTCTTACCTCAAGAGCCACAAAGAACAGGAGGATAACCTTATCTCATAGAGAGCCCTCCATATATTGCTGACCAAATGTCAGCTCTTCCAATCCTTCAAGTGTGTTGGATTCTCACCATTTTGGATGCTTTCCTCCAGACACATTATATTCTGTCAATGAACCTCTAAAAAACTTGCAAGAAAGGAGTACAAGATTCCAAATTGAGTGTGAATAATATGGAATCAATCCCAATGCACCTTTTTTCCTCTAAGCAATGGAGGTTATGGGATGGCACATGAATGAGGAAGGGAGAGCACTGGGCACAGTGATTAAGATGCCAGCATCCCATATCAGAGTGCCTGGGTGTGGGTCTTGGCTCTGCTCCACATTCTAGCTACCTGCTAATGCACACCCTGGGAGGCAGCAGGTCAAGTATTTGGGTCCCTGCCAACAACACAGGAGACCAGAGTTCCTGGTAGCTTCAGCCTGGCAATTTCCAGCTGTTGAGGCGGCTTGAGGAATGATTCAGTGAATGGGACATCTCTGACTGACTCTTTGTCTCTCCTCTTTCTCCCTGTCTCAGCCTCTATCTTAACCTGAAACATACTATACACTTAAGAAGTGAGAGTTCACTTTTCTTACACTTCCTTTCCAGATTAACAACACCCATTTTCTTGTCACTGGACCCCAATGTATTCTTCTTTTCATTCCATACTATACAACGTTATCATATGCATTCTCTATGTGTTCCCACTCACTAATCTTAGTTCTAATCCTTTGTGGGACTGACTTGTGTCTTCCTAATCCCTGTAACCTACAAATGTGACCTTATTCAGAAAAAGGCTCTTTGTAGATGTACTTAAGGATTGCAAAATGAGATCATCCTAGATTTAGGGTGGGCTCTAAATTCAATGGCAGGTGTCCTTATAAAAAGAGAGGAAAATAAGAGAGACACAGAGAAGAGAAGGCCAAGTAAAGATGAAGACAAAGATTGGAGTGATGCTTCCTCAAGCCAAACAATGCCAGGAGCTGAACACAACCACCAGACACTGGGGAAAAGGTATGGGATGGACTCTGTCAGACCCTCCAGAAGGACCTAACTCTGCCACTGCTTTGATTTCTAACTTTTGGCCTCCACAATTATGAGAGATTATTATTTTTTTTGTTCTAAGTCTTGAGATTTGTGGAAAGTTTGTCATGGCCTAGGAAACTAATACACCCCCTTACCCTAATCTTTAAAGCTCCCCTCAGTCTGGATTGAGCCTCTCCTAGGGTCTCTTATACCCAGGCTTTACCAAGTCCCCTGGTCTGCATACGAACAGTCCCTTGCCAGGCAGTGAATATTGGTGCAATTTGCTTTTCTGATGTGATTTCTTTCCCTTTCTAAACTCATTGTGTTTTCCCTACTTATTCAAATCCTCACCATGAAATGAAAGCGCTACCCTGGCCCACAGGGAAGGTTTGTAGCACACATCTGACACTGAATCATACTTTGCTCCAATATTATGTACTGTCCTTTTTTCAGGTATGTGTGTGTTTCTTTGAGAGAATAATTATTTTTGCAACATAGAAAATATTGAATAAATAAATTGAATCAACAAGTTCTGACAGAAAATGAAAGTTTTATAAATCGAATTATATGCCACCCCCTACTCCATTGCATATGTCCTAGTGCCTCATGAAATGATTGTATTTGGAGACAGGGCCTTTGAAGAGATAGTTAAGTTTAAATGAGGTGTTTGTGAGCTCCAAGCCAATCTGACCCATGTCCTTATAGAAAGAAGGATTAAAAAATACAGAAACAGAAACCATGGGTTTCCATGTACGTAAAAATGACCACAGCATGTGACCAGGCAGCAAGAGCATAGCCTTTTGCAAGCCCAGCAAAGAGGCT